GGTTTTATACACTGGCCATCATTGTTGACAATATCTTCACAAACCTGCCTGGCACATACCCTTCAATTGTTGCAGGCTCACCATTGTACAAGTATAGAAACAGCGGTTATACTTAAAACACTTACCAAAACTGGATGGGGCTTTCGAATCAAATTTCTTTGTGAAGTGTCGTGCCACAGCATGCATTTGCACCTGTTTGCGACAGTGGTTTTCAACTGATGTGCTTGCAATCCCTTCAATTGTGCTTTTAGCCCTTGCATTATAGGTTTTCACAACCCATTCTGTTGGTTGGTGGTTTTTAGCACTTTTCTTTCCAGTTGCATGGAAAGCATCTCTGAAGCCACCAGAAGCAAATTTCTTGGTGTCGACCAGAAGTTCTTCCTCCATGACTTCCGTCCACTCTCTAGATTCAATGTCGAATGCTTCAAAAGTAATGGTTACTTTGTTTTTTGGTTGTGGTTTTGCTACTTTACCAGCTTTTAGTAAAGCATCTATTGATACTGAAGCTGGATAATTTCTATTGGGGTGTGAAGTTGATATGCTGTCCTCATAATAAACTTCAACTCCGTCTTCAGACAATGGCTGGTCATCCTGCATCACCACAAATCTTACCAGGTAAACCTGTTTAGAAAATGTGATGATAGTACTCTAATACTTCTTTCCACAATAATATCATATATATAATATACATGTACTATAAATCCATACAAGAATGAAGATGATGACATTTGTAGCTCTTATGCCCCCCTGAGATCTTGGTGAAAACTGACCAACTAAATCAGTCTGAAAATTGTTTATATGAAGCACTTCGAAGGGTGCTAAAATTTTACCTGATAAATATCTTGGGGGAAGCTTAGGGGCGTTCCGGAAAACCGTGTCCAAAGGGGTCTAAACCCAGTAACCTGGTTAAGGGGGGGGTTAATTTTAACTGGGATGGCCCTATGTGGGTACAAACCTATTTTACATATGAAAACTATTGAATTTAGGCCATTAAATTTGAAATGTTAAGGCTGACAAAATTTTCATTTTACTTTATCCTTCCGATGTGGAATCTGTCCAATGTTTGTACATGAAGGTCCTTTGTTTGAAACCAAAATATCGCACGTGCTCGCTGGCAAGTTGAAGTGGGCTGCGCACGCTTTTTTTAAGTTTACCAATGAAAGTTCTTCGTACTCAAAGTTGACAAATTCCCTAGGTTTCACAGGTCTAAATGTCTGCTTAGTATCTGGCTCGGACGCTAGCCGTTGTACTATGATCTCGTGAGGAGCAGTCGATCCGGACTTCTTCTTTCGCCCTGACATGGCATCATTACGAGTTCTCTTTCCACTCATTTTTGCTTGAAGATCATTCCAAACTGCTTGCCTTTTCATAGTTCTTCGTTTAACCAACAAAAAACTTCTCGAAGAACGGTAACAGATAGATCACACAACAAAAATTGATAAAATAAATGCGCAAAACTTTCTTGACCTTGCATGAATATTCGCATTTAATTTGCAGTAATTCCATGTCCCGAAGGGGGCGGCCGCTGACCAACGATACCCTGGGCTATGGAAACGCTGGGCCATCGCAACATTCGAAATTGATTTTTGACATGTTTCGATGGCCCATCGTTATCATAGCAAAATACAAATCAAATTGAAAATCAAATGTTTTGAAATTTTCAAAGTTGTTTTCTTAATCGTTTTTTTATTTTATATTTTTTATGTTTTAGTGCCTTTAATTGTTTTTTCAGTTTTTCATAAATTTATGAATTTGTTTTCTGTTCGATTTTTTTTCGTTTTTTTTTTCTTAATTTATTTTTTGTTTTTGGTTTAAATTTTACTCAAATATTTTTTCTATATTTTTATGTCATGTATTTTTTTAAATTTTAATTTTATATTGCTTTTATTAATTTTTAACTATTTTTTCACATCTTATTGTAAATAAAACAGGTATATCACTATGGTAACGCTGGGCCACCATACTCGTGCATAAAAATCGTACACGCTCGCCAATCATGCAGTAATCTGTATATATATACACTGCATATTGTGCATTTAACGTTACCTGGTAGATTTCTCTTCTCTCCAAAAGTCCTATTAAATTTTTTCATCATTGTATGAATTTTATCTGTTCGTTCGTCAATAAAAGACAATTTCTCCTCCACATTCTCGGTTCGTTCGTCAATAGAGGACAACTTCTGCTCCATATTCTCATGAAATACACTGTTGGCTCGTAACTCATTCAAAAGACATTCATGTAATTCTTGAACTTTCTCTGTAGGGAAATCATCCTCGCTCATTTGACCAATAGTATCAACAAAAGCGCTATCAACATTGATTGCTGTTAAAGCGTTGGTTACCAATTGTACATAGTTATCAAAATCAATTTTGACTATTACTGGTTTTGGTGAATGGCAAAGTGTGTTTCTCAATAATCGCAGTTGATCAATTGCCAAGGCGTAGGTCTCATCTTGACTTCCTGTTGAGCTCTGGACTGATGAATGAAAAGTACCAGGAGGTGGTTTAACTTTCTTCAAATATAAATCATTCAAAGTTGATCCCTTGCTTCCTGGAACACCAAAGGTTTTGGCATAGATTGTTGCTTTAAACAAAGCTCTGCAGTCCCACTCCTCAATTGATTTCGTAGTTGGTATATCTGTTTTACCACCTTCAGATTTAAGAAGCATGTTCCGTACTGTGATACTGTCATCCCATGGAATGAATCCTGGTCTTACAGCAACCTTGCTGTCCCACATGGTGATAAAAATTTGACGCAATACCTTGGGGAACTCATCAAGAACAAGTGTAGAAAACTTAAAGAAATTCAATTGTTCTTTGGAAAATGGTTTCACTGCCATCGTGGTGCAAAATCTAGGCAACTAAGTATCTTTCTGTGCAAAGTATCTACAAAAGCGATAAAATACAAAAAATCATTGATTATAGCGATCATATACTGGACATAAATATATTGCATTTAATATATATTGCAATTATTTCACACTGAAATATAATCGTCGCTGATTTCGATGAAAGTCATGAAAGTTGTTGTTTTATATGAGGTATATCTTCTTTTCCTGTCATTGTTTTTCCATATCACAATAGTGTATCCTTTAATGTGTGATACAAAATTTTATAAAATAATGCATCTTGATACAGTATTCTTTGCTTTCAAACTATTAAAATCAGCAAACTATATACTTTATAGATTACAACATATTTAACAGACATATTTAGATCGTAATCTTGTAGAATGTTATTTCTAATTTACGTTTTTTGAAACAATCGAGTTTTCTTCAATTCTTAATTATAACGTATTTAACAATTATTCACCGAAGTGGAGGTGAATAGTAGTACAAAAATATTCACCGAGACGGGAGGCGTTGAGGTCAATATCCTATAGCACTATTATCATATATGCACTCGGGAGGTGGACAGCTCTTTTCACCCAATTTGATTGGCTGCTCAGGATATCTTTGCATTCACCTCCGGACAAAAACAAAATGGCTTCCGATTTTGTTCCGAATACAGACGAGCAAATATTTTTACTAAATGGAGTTACGGTTCCGCCAAACATAAAGAAAGCTAACAAAGATTTGATTAACAGTGACAGTGCATGTGCATAGGTATTCTTTAAAACTATTTCTAGTGAATAATACTAAAATTACTAGTAAATAGTACTGTTTTACTTACAACTAATCCGGGAACGGGAGCTGTAACACAAATTGTTTTAAATTTTCGTTGTATTATGTATAAAAATGTAACACTATGCAATTTTTACAATTATTTGCTGGGGCAACTGAACGTTCGAAGAAGCGTCTTGTTAAATAATTAGAAATAGTTTTAAAATAATATCCGGGAAAAATACGGAAAGACATTTTGTTTTGGTGCGGAGATGAATAGCGCAAGGATATCCGGAGTTTAGCAAATAATAAAATTATGTAATAGTTTTGTTTGTGGAAACACCACGTAAATTTATTACTGCAAAGCTTTCGATCCGTAAGCCTGGTTCTTCATCAGTGCAAATAATATGTGACTTGTTCATTTTTTTACGCGCTCTTTTTTTATATACAAAAGTGTCGTGATCTGTTGGCTCGCGTCATCTGAAATTTAATTAAACGGGACATCAACCACGTCATTTCAAACGTAGAGAAGTGATTCTAATTAACGCGCGCGCATCCAAGACAAGAGAAATTAATTTCGCACATTAAAGAGAGCACGCCACGTATACTATCTAGTGGCTTTCCCTCCTGATCTATAGTATTGTGCTTCTCAATTTCAATTGACTCTCTCATTTTGCGAGAGAACTTATGACTATCAATCGCCAAAATGGTTACTTCGTCCCATTTTATACGATGGTCGTAAGTTCAAGTGTGTTTAGCCCATAGAAATAATAGATATCTATTGTTATTATATGGCTTTGCAGAATCCTGGATTCTGATTGGTCGACGTGCGGTCCGTAAAATGCGTATCCGGACCGTGGTCCGTATTTCCCGTATCCGGACCGGTTTCCCGTATGTAAATTTGACAGGCTCGAACTTGAAACGTTTTTACACGTTTATAAGGTCGTTATGATCATTTTTAAGAATAAGAAGTCTTGGAAATATTAATAAGTACTTGTATCAACACAAATTTCATCGAAAAAGCTAAGAAAACAAGCCGTTTGAACTCTTACTGACAACCGTAAGTTTTGGTGGGAAAATGTTTTGATTTGTTTACTTGTTTCAAAAAATAAAATAAAGATGAATTTAACGTCTTTAATACCATATTCTAAACAAATATCATATCATATAAACCGGGTTTATAAACATTTTTTCAGGGGGTGGGGGTTACCGAAAAAGTAGTTCTAAAGCGATTGTTAAACATGCTTTTGCGTAAACAATATTCGGTGACGAATCCAAATCTAAAGGAAGAAAACTAGCAAATAAAGCATAGCTCAAAAATACCTTTATAGCGCTCAAACAAATATATGAAAATCAGAAAATATGTTTAAGGAGCCATATAATAAATGGTTTATTAACCTCGTTTTGCTTGGTCTGTACGGGAAAGTATTTGCCTTCGGTTTATCCGCACAGACCTCGCTCCTTCGTCGCTCGGTCTGTATGAAAACCTCAGGCAAATACTTTCCTGCACAGACCTCGCTCTCGGTTAATAACCCTTTATTATCTATTATTATCTTTATTTCTATGGTTTTGCCACAGGAGATTTATCTTGCTCGGCTTTCTCGCAATTCGTCTTAATATGTTCCTTAAGACGTAGCTACTGAGAGATTTCGACCAGTTTCACCAATGTAAACTAGACCACATTCACATGCAAGGAATGTGGTACACACCACACTGTTACTGTCGTTCCAATTGAAGTGTTCCTCAAATATTGATTCAATACATTACCTCGGGCTGACCAATTCATTTGATCAACTTGCTCGAAATATTCATACACTTCCTGTGAAAGAGCCAATTCCAAGTATTGGATCATTTCTGGTCACTTCCTTTCTATTTATGATTGGTTAGTTGCACAAACAACAAAGGTGATTGGTGCATTCAAACTATTCAACAGGAAGTTTACAATTATACTAGAAAGTGTATGAATATCTCGAGGAACTTGATGAAATGAATGGGTCAGCCCGAGGTAATGTATTGAATCAATATTTGAGCAACACTTCAATTGGATCGACAGTAATTTCAAGGAGTTATTTTAACTCCACCATAAGAGTTAAAACTACTCCTCTCGGGAGAGTAAAAATTGTGGAGTAAAATCTACTCCCAAAATAGAGTTAAAACTACTCCACTTCGGCGCGCATTCTACAATTTACTCCATCGGGAGTCAATTTAACTCCACTGGAGGAGTAAATTAAACTCGCTTTTAGGAGTAGAAATTATGGAGTAATTTTTACTCCTTAATTTTACTCCAGGGGTCGTTTCAACTCCCAAAAAAAGAGTAACATGGTTCTGGATCTAGAGTAAATTATTACAATAAAATTAATGCGTTTGAGAATTGAAGATGGCGGCTATACTCTAAGTATTGAATACAGATGCGAAAAGCAAGAAGTTCGAGATATAAAGTCGTTTTTTTTAAATTAATTTTGCGTTTTTGGTTACTCGAGGAGTTATTGGTTATTCAAGACAGATTTATGCCAATGATGTATTTACCAGTATATCTGATTCAATCGCACGCGGCGATCGATTAATGTAGCCAGAAATTGTCAGCGAGTCATCTATATATTTTTTATTTGCTGCTATAAATCTGTAATTTGAACTTGTGGCTCTCCTCCGCAGAGGCTTTTAAAGAATATGAAATTCGAAGGGATTGGAATTGAAGAAGATATTTGAAAGCTAGAAGGTATTTGAAATTGCGCTTTTTCAATTCTTTCGAATTTCATATTCTTTAAAAGCCTCTGCGCGCCTGTAGCCTGCGTGGCAGGCTCTCTGGGTTTGGGGGAGGCGATGATTCTGTCTCCCATTTTTCATCGCCTCCCTCAAACCCAGAGAGCCTGCAACGCAGGCTACTGCACCTGAGGAGAGAGAACTCGTGGAATATTCTGCTGCGGAATATAATATGCGACAAGTGGAAGTTCCAGAGTTTCAACCAATTAACATGTTTAGAATATAGGCCGTGGGCCGTTGTGCGAAAAAGTGCTTAGAAAAGCAATTTCGTCGCAACCCCATGGGGAATAGATTTTCTGTGGTTCAATTCATAGTACCATAGATGCTCAATTACCACAAAAAAAGTTCACAAGCAAAAAACTTGCCAAACACCGAGAAAATGAGTGATCAGTGATTATCCTCTATCAAATTGTATTACAGCAAGAAAATGTAAAATCATCAGAAAGCTTACAACAATCTACATATAAGACATTTAAACAGTTTTTTTATATCTCAAATTGTGATATACATATGTATGTTGTATTGCGTGTTAAATATTTGCTAAGTTGACATGTATACTTTTATATATGTGATTTGTTTGAAATGCAGTCACATTTGACAGCATTGCAATTATAGCCCATCTTCTAATATTACCCAGTGTATGGCATGTGCTTGCTATGGTTGCTTCGTCTCATTTTATACGATGGTCGTAAGTTCAAGTGTGTTTAGCCACAGGAGATTTGTCTTGCTCGGCTTTCTCGCAATTCGTCTTAAGCCTGGTTCACATTGATCGTAAACATCGGCGATGCCCATTGTCGGTGGTCATTGATGCATAAAATGTTTTGTGCATTTTCTTCTTCGCTGCTCACAGAGAACCTCCAAAGCAACGAACGCCCTTAATAAGCTTTCTTGATACAAGATTGCTCAAGCAAGAATATAAATCCTCGCTGCGTCAGTGCCAGATAACATACAATAAAGTGCAATACATTACAAAACAAAACACTGCATTTCCCGTCTTACAATTATGACGTCATAAAGGCCTCGTGGAAAGGTTTTTTGCCCCGGACCCTCCACAATCTGTGCCCTCCATGCCGCTACAGTATAATATTATAAATTATATTTAAAGGCTAAGATTAAATTTGTTTCCGAGATGTAGTGGTTAAAACTAGGCCGTTTTTATACTTCTTGGTGTCCCTAAAAAAGTACACGTTAGTTGATTTAATATAGCGGGAGAATTAGACCAACTATTCCGCCCAAAAAATTTTTATCTAATCCACAAAGTGCTAGCTTAATACGATATTAACTAAGCAATCAAGGTTTTAAACCAAACAAGCACTTTTGAAAATGTTTAAAATTAGCACAAAATGGTTTGTTAATAAATCATATCTGATCAAGCTTGATATACCTTAATGTTTTGCTCAAAAGAACGCAAGTACAGCATATTTGTTTCAGATATCAATATTTGATCGACTGAAAAAGCTTGTCCTATGGAAAGAGCAACCTCGTTCCCAGCCTTTCCCTCTTCTGGAGGAAAAACCGAAAAACCATTGTCGGAGCTGGCACGTAGCCTATAGAAAACTGAGAACTTAAGGGGGCGAGGAAATGTCTCATATCACATGCTTCCACTTTCGCACTTTACACTTCGATTGCAAGGCGTGAGTGTTTAGAATCATATATACTTGCTAAATTTGGTTTCCGTTTGTTTTCAATTTAAACCATATTATCATCGTTTATATTAAACACTAGGTAGGAAGGAGTGTATAAAAAAGTCGCGCACATAGACATATTGATGAGTTTTTATAGTATTTTAAAGTTTTTCCATTGATAGATCGGCAGTTTGCTCTAGCATCGTTGGATGAAACTTCGAAGATGTCGATCACAGTATACAATAAAGATTACAATTGATATAAATATTGATTACCCACAACAGCATGATATACGTCGAAAGAAGCTGGATTATTCTGCAAATAAAGGCCAATGGCAATGCCAATGAATGGTCTTTATTCCCGAACCAACGGCGCGGAGCGCCGTTCCAGGGCGAGGGTACTAATTTTGCCCGGCCACTTACACCCGGGGAAAGGAACGCATTAGCGAAGTGTAAAGTTCATCAATAATCGCGGGCGCATGACTATGTTCATGTGTGGTTATTCTCTGTTATACACTGTTCATGCGTGGTTATTCTCGCTGATCTCAAAATATTGGGACTGTCGTGAATAGCGTACACTGATTGGTCAAACTTGAAAATTACATTATAACGACTGCATGACGACAGCGAAATAACAAACATTTCTTGCAAATATATATTTCAATTATGCAGATTATGTAAATTTCAAAAGCTTTTTGTGAAAAAAAATCAAAAAACATCTAAAAGAAGAGAGCAAAGACGCCGACGTTAACAAATGTATGTTTGTTCTTAATATTGATGTATTGTTTGCTTTGTAATTGTATTAAAAACTGATCGTTGGCACGTTGCGTATAACGAAAAAAGACTGATTGACTTATTGATTACATTTTTTTGTTATATTCAACGTTTTTAAATAAAGATGCTTCTTGGTCTTTGAAGTGATGGATTAATATTGTAATAAAGCTTTTGTTGTCCTCCTGCCCTGGAGGTGGGGCTGTTTCCACAAAGTACTGATGGGGAGCCACAGGGATGGTCGATGATATAGGTGCATATATGTAACAAACATAGTGGTCTTAGGCCAGTTTCATACGTCGAATTTAATTCAGACAAATTTAATTCGTTATTAAATTCGGCAATTGGTCGACACTAAAATGGTTTCGTTTCAAACGACGAACTTAATTCAGACGAATTCATTTCATGTCTAGCGATCATGGATTACCCAGAAGTAAAAACCACGAGACCAGAAAGAGAGAAACAGACTTTAACATAATTTATGCATTTAATTCGACACGACGATAACACGTCGTATGAAACGAAGACGCGCTACAGACGTTGTATCCGTCTGACCATGACGGATAAGACGTCTTGGACGAATTTAATTCATCAGACGGATTTAATTCGTTTCATACGAAGTACTAACGTCGCATTTAATTGATTCAATTAAATTCATCTGAATTAAATTCGATGATAGTGCGACGTATGAAACGGGCCTTATTTTGTTAGCAACATAAAAGCATTTCAACAACTGAAGTAGAAAATCTGTAGTCCTTCAAAAAGTAATTTGAAATTACTTTCATGTTTAAAAACCAGGGTTTAATTATTTACCTGTCATTCGGCCCGCCATGGATTTCATAGCAAAATAATATGAAACTCCTCAGCCCAAGCGAATTCAGGATATACTGTATATTGCATAAATCTTAAATAACAACCTGTCTTAGTCAGATATTCTTTTGACCATGACAGGACCATTTGCATTAGAGAGTTTAAGCTTCGCGTTATACGTCAAACGGCAAACGTCAGGCAAAGAAAATTTTACGGTATCAGGCAATAAAGAGTAAAATAATGAACTTGCTGTTTTAAAGCTGAAATACATAATTATTCTTTCGACGCAAGAAAGAAAATCTGAAACGAAAACGTTGCAACGAATATTTTGCCAAGAAAGTTCGAACGTGCCGTTTGCCGTTCCCGGAAACGGGAAGCTTAAACTCCATATTAATTGTTGAATCCACAATACTCGCCTGGGCGCAGGGTGTCCCTGCTAGTAATAATTGACTATAAAGTACAATATCAGTGTCTGGTGCATGTAACATTGTAAATATTCACGTTGTTAGTTGTACCGCAGGCACGGAGGAGTATTGGCGTTCGTGTGATAACAAATAGCTACGTACTTTCTGTGTTAGTGTAACATATTATGTACTCAGATGAATAAGATGCTTGTGATGCATGTTACTCTGAGTGGAATCATTCTTGATCGTTGAGTTTCAGCAATGTCATGCAGTGCAGGAAATAATATCACATAGGATACATTTCAATTAAACAATCAAGTCGTTTGTTTGATCGATCAGTCGTTGTAGAAGGTATATATGTTTTACGGCGAACCGCGAACGGCGTACTCAATTTCTTTCCTTACAAATGAAATATGACCCAGCTTATCGCTTGAAATGTAACGCAACACTTATTATTTATGATATTCAGTGTATAGCAGGAAGTCGTGTCAATGGTGCATGATAAATACGAATTTAGAACAGTTCCTTTCACAATTTCAGCGGAAAGTGCAACACACTTGCCAATTTTCAAACGCAATTTTCCACCCTCCCTAAGGTATATTTCAATTTACCCCGCGAAATCGGGGAACCACGTGACCAGCTCCGACCATTCCTCAACATGAGGGAAAAGCCTGGGAACGAGGTGGTGGCAAGAGAACACCAATTGAGAGAACACTAGAGACCTTACGATTTAGGACGGCAACGACTACCAATACAATAAATCATTGAAAAGAACTGAATAATTACATTAAATATATGAATGATTTAGACATTCTCCTTCGCTCCGTTTACAACGCCAAATCACAGGTTTTCACGTTTTGATACATTTTAATGATTATATGCAATAAAAATAGTTAACACCAAGCACGAGTTGTGGGTGTCTAATAGGCAATTCCAGCTTTTAATTTATGTGCGCAGGGGGTGACGGAACGTAAGGTATCATATAGCTGATTATGCTGAAAAATATCCAATAAAAACTGCCAACAATACTAGTTCTGCGAGACTCAGTGTTGTGTGATGTTGTGATACAGTATTGTTCACTCGGCCGCGTCAGGCAGAATTATCACGACCAACATACTTAGATGATTATAGCTTCTTCTGCCTACCTGTAACCCTTTTTTGAATATCCCAACTCAGAGTGTCATTCTGTTGTTTCAAGCCATTGTAAAAGTCAGGTCATTCAAGTAGCTACAAAGGATGAGCAAACAATCAGTACACATGCAGATACAGCATTACAATACCAAATCTTGTGCACTATGTATGTGCCAAACGTCTCAGCATCATTTCTCATGTTCTGACTCGCCTAGAATAATTTACCTCATCCACGAAGAGATTATTGAAAAGCTCAAATCTAGAGATCCTTGTAAGACTTGTAAAATTTAGAAATGTGTGAAATGCTTTAACTTTCTGCATTGAATATTCTATATTCACTATGAAATTGGTCAGCAAATCACATAAACAGCTAGGGTATAGGTGTTTATTTGATGTGTTCATGCTTAAGAATGATTACTTAAGAATGATTACCGTGAACGGCCATGAACTCAAAAGATCTGTTGTTCGTGGATATTCATGACCAGTTCATGAACAATTTGAGTAACTTTCATGAATGTTCATGGTCAAACATTCATGAACGTTCATGGATTTATTCATGAACATTCATGAATTGTGCATGATCATTTCACCAGGAATGTGCTTTATCCCCAAAGCAACCTTAAAATCTTTTCTTGGAAATATAAAAATTTTCATAGATTAAAGTGCTCTCAAAACTCTTATGCCATTTCAGAGATTACAATTTATTGTTGTTGTGGTTGTATAAACAGGGCCGTAGCAACCGGGGAGCTGCAGCCCCCCCCCCCCAATAATTTGCTAATAATCATAATGATTCTTTTTTCAAAATCATGAAGACCTTTATTATTTAATCCATGCAAAGAATGAAGATATTACCCATACTAATTGCTGCAACTTATCCAAAATATAGTTAACTAAATATGCCTTAGCCCATTTAGTACTACTCAATTGTACATGTAAATTTTGACATATTAATATGCTGTTTTCTGACCATCAGAATTCTGTCAAATCTTCCCCAAAGTCCAGGAAATGGCATTTCAGAGACTCTAAATTTAAAAATTTCCTTGGGCCTTCAGTCCTCGCTTTCAGCCCCTCCCCAATCAAAAAGAGCTTCCTACGGCCGTGATAAATAGTAATTATCACCCTTGTTGTAGTTGCTTATACCTATGCTTATGTAAATAAGGAAAAACCGGTCTGTCCGATATTTAACAATTATTCGCCAAAGGCGAGGTGATTATCGGTGAATAAAAACCGAGACGAAGTCGAGGTTTTTATTCACGATAATCACCGAGCCTGAGGTGAATAATTGTTTTAGTATAATTTCATAGGTGATAATTGACAAAACGGCTTCGGCCGCCATTTTGAAAATAGCTTAGGTGATTATCGCGTAATAATCACCTCAACGGCAACCAATCAGCGTGGAGAATTTTCAATAATCACCTATGTAGTTATACTAATGTCGTATATTGGTTTTTCGCTTTCTGAATTTAATAGAAATTTGAACGAACTTTTGATTTTGAATAATTTGAATATTTCATAGCTGTTGACAATGTTTTTAACACGAAATGTCTACTTCTTTTACTTTGCATTTGAGTAAAACAAAAATTGATGATTTGGCCATATATGTGTAAATTTGATACGGTATACCCAAAAATTCCAATATATCGGAAATTTTGGTATATCGGTATGACTGAAAAACTCATACCGAAAAACCGATATTGGTTTCAATATCAACATTTTCGGTATATCAGTGAACTGAACATTTCTAGTGTGGCTGGAGTGCAAAATATTGGATAGAAGGGCATGTCCGACATGCGTTATTGCTACAATTTTTTTCGACCTTGAGTCATAATTAATTGTTGATTAGAAATAATTACTATATTATTATTATTATTATTAAGCAATTATTGGATGAGGCTGAGCATGATATCAAGAATTATTCAGACCGAGGTCAATGTTATCTGCCGAAGCGAAGCTGAGGCGGATAACATAGACCGAGGTCTGAATAATTCTTGATATCATGCGAAAGCCGAATCCAATAATTGTTTTATTATACATTTATTAAAGACATGAGAAACGTATAAAACGATTCCTGTTCATGAGGTAGAAAAAGTACAATTTGAATATCAAACACCTTGCACAAAATCAAAGGTCAGCTAAATATTCTATTTCTACTTCTATTTACCCCTTTGTGGCTTTTTTCGTGCTTTCACTATCCTTATCTGCCAATAATTTGGAGAGTTCACTTTCATTCACGAAGCAAATCTGCTGTAGGCCATTGTTTGTTTGTTTTTTTCGCGCGCTTATAGGTTCAAGCTTTTGGCCGCGCAAGGGCTTGGGAACGAGAGAGTCCAATAATATTTTTTTTGGATGCAAGTTTGATCCAAAAAAACAATTATTGGACGCTGATGACGTCATCGGCGGAAAATACGTAATAAATGCCGAATACTGAAAATTAGCCGGTGCTTTCTGACCAATTAGAAACGAGAATACATATTAAATGTATAATAATAATTATTATTTAAAAATTCGCCCTATTTACATAATTAAGATAGAATATACAGTATAACGTCTGTTATATCATGAATGCAAGCCTTCGCCTGATAATATTTTGACTATAACCTATTAATAATTTGGGAGGTTGAACAATTTATATACTCATTCTTTCAAGAATATGATACCAGAAATTTCAAATACTTCGTAAGGAATTTTCAAGTCATTATCTATTAAATTAAGCAGATCAGATCGAAATCATCGAATCAAAGACAACTTTTAAATCGAATGCTCTCATATTTTGTGTTTGGTAGTGTGTATTAAAAATAATCTCAAGGGATTCAAAAGACAAAGAAAACTTCGCCATATTTTTGGAATGAAATTAGAATTGCAAGCAAGGAAAATATTTTGTCAAATTCATCCAACATCTGGGCGATGACGCATTATTATAAACTTGCAAGCACTGTCAGGTCACATCAGGAAGTGGTAAAATAAAAATAAAACCTCAAATAACAATGAATTTATTCAATTCCTACCTGAAATCTAAGAATCCAAGATATACACAAAGTTTACATCACGATTTAAAATTCTGCAACTTGGTTTAATAAACATACGAGTATTTACAATATCAATGGTTTATATTGGTACGATGAATTCCTTTCTAAACTCAGTTCAGCATATGTCCATCAGTCCATGTAAAATAAATATGGCCACTTTATAACCACGTTCTTGTCCTCGGTCTTGCCCGCAATATCAATAACCACGTTTTCCAACTAACATTGTATTGTAACAATTAATAGTTAGATACGTTGAACCTTGCTGTATACGCAATACTTCTCTTGGAAATCCTAGAATACAGCTTTCGCTATCTCAAAACAAATCAATCTCGTTCCCTGAGCCTGCGATCGAAACGTGAGCAGACTGCAGACGTATGGCGCGTCATCGGTGTCAAAAATGTTATTCTATTTTAAGATAAGATTTTCATTTTCATATAACAATATAAATTTTGGATAACACACAATTGTTCATATAACGCTGTAAATTTTGGATAACACACGACTTTTCATATAACGCTATAAATTTCGGATAACACACGACTTTTCATGTAAGGGACCGGTCATTTATTAGAGGGGGGGGGGGCTGGTGCAAATGGGGAGGGGGTCATACCTTTTTCAAAATCATTTGCTTCTGAGGTCAACGGAAAACATGTTAAAATTATGATTGATAACAGCTCCGCGGTATTATTATCAACAATATGGGTACTAGTCATAACGATACATGTAATTCAATTGCACTTGAGATATGCGAATTTTGTATCCAAAATCAGATTCGGCTTACTGCTACTCATTTGCCGGAGTCATGCAATGTGGTGGCAGATAGAGAATCTAGAACCCTGTACAAGGATGCAGAGTGGATGCTAAATCCTAAGGATTTGGCATCAGCACTGGAATAATTGCAGTTTCAGCCTGAAATTTGACTTATTTGCATCTAGGCTAAATAAACAATTTAAAAATTATTCTTCATATCGGCCTGACCCTGAAGCATCTCATATTGATGCATTTTCAATATCTTGGGAAAATTTAAATTTCTATGGTTTTTCTCCTTTTAGTTGTCTTTTAAAAAGGAAGATCATCCAGGAGAGGGCAAAAGGAATTATTGTAATCCCAAACTGGCCAACGCAAGTATGCGGGTATCCTCTCGTAAAACCTTTGTTATTGAAACCTCCTCAGAGACTCCATCCATCCAAAACATTGCTCCACCTACCAATCAAACATATATAAAGAAATGGGAAACCTTTTGCATCCAAAATGAATGTATACGTAGTTTCCTAGATCCTCCTATACCTAAAGCAGTTGTTTTCTTAACAGGATTGTTTTCAGCAAGGATTATCATACACCTCAATAAATACAGCTCGCAGCGCTTTGTCTGCCTTATTGCATCGCAAGGATAATACTATTCCCTTCGGACAGTTACCATTAGTAAAACGATTTATGAAAGGAATCTTTGAACTTTGCCCTAGTTTTCCAAGGTACGAAGCTGTCTGGGATGTAAATAAAGTCTTTGACTATTTTAGACAGAAATGTAATGTCTCGGATTTATCACTTAAAGAGCTTTCTGAAAGGTCAAAGGTTGACAACTTTGTTACTACTCCTAAGTGGACAACGATTTCAAACAATACACTTATTATCTATCTTAAGTATGGAGCTTTCTCCAACCCGATGTGTTTTTGGCAAGTGAAAGAAAAAGTGAAACAATCTCGAGTAGGTTACCATATTGCTCCTATAGTGTATGAAGAATATCCGAAAGAACCAGCCCTCTGTATTTTAATCAGTGCACATCAAGGAATATATTAAGCGTACACAGAAGCTTCGCGATCTGGAACTTTCTCAACTATTAATTAGTTATGTTAAACCAAATAAGCCAGTGTCTCGAGAAACTATTGCTCGCTGGTTTAAGAATGTACTTAAATCAGCAGGAATTGATACCAAAAGATTCAGCTGTCATAGTACTCGGGCGGTATCTACTTCATTAGCAGCAGAAAAATCGGGCGATATTGACAAAAGCATTAGCTCGGTTGGCTGGTCAAACGCTAAAACTTTTCAGACATTTTATAAGAAACCTGTGGAACAAACCTTTAACTTGGGTTAACTGTTAGATGTTATACATTGTAATGTTGCCGCGGTTTTACAAATACATATTGTTGTTGTAGTTGGTTTTAATTTGGGAACTTTAGTTTTCTCTGACTCCATTACTGCTGTGAAATCTCGTGCAACTCTTGAACGACCATAGCTGATGACGTAGTAGAATTTAAAAATTAAACGAAACTTACCTGTAAGGTGAAGTTTGATTGTAATTCTACAAGTCATCAGCGGGGAGTGAAAGCGTTGCAGGCCCTTGCCCAATGATTTTCCCACCCAACTCTTTCACTCCTGCTATTCTGCTAATCAGTGGCGTGCTGGGTACTAATTTTCTAGGGGGGCCAGTGGGTTTTCAACTAATATGCGCCCCTATATTGTAACGCTTGATAAAGGAGTGTCGAAGGCACGAGCCGAGCGCCGCAAGTGCGAGGTTTCTCTAGGGGGGTCCGGGGGCATGCCCCCTCGGAAAATTTTTGAATTTAGGGTCTCTGAAATGCCATTTCCTGGACTTTGGGGGGAAGGTTTGACAGAAATCTGATGGTCAGGAAACGGCATTATAACGTGTTGGAATTTGCAATTTAGTTAGAATTTAGTAGTAGTATTTAAATTGGGCAATGCTAACTCAGTTCCAGCGATTAATCTAATCCCAATTCTATTCTCTACTGATCTCGTGATCTGAATACATTTACAACATACAGCTCTTTTATACAATAGCACACGGACCCCACGCATATGCACTTTAAGGTTACTACCTTGCTTGACTGCCAAAAGGGCGCGTTTCAGCATTATCTTATCACTTACATTACTCATGAGTCATGATGTTTCTTGCACAAACAATTAAATTGCGTACACAACTTACATTATCATAACTATCTAATTTGCGCCGCTCTCGTGATTCGTGAAGCATAATACCTTCATAATATAAGGGCATAATACCAGCAAAAAAGGGCATAATTCCCGTGATCGCTTCGAAACCTGACCAATATTCCGGTAATGAGACATTGTGTGTGATCACCGATCATGTTTCTATATCAACGATTTTGTGTGAGCTATGAAGTAGCAAATTAGCCAATACGGTTAGACCAAATAGTCTGTAATTTAATATATCTCTTTGTCGTCTATGCGCTTAGTCTCGATCTGTTTATAAGCCTATACAAATATATACTTCTTGACGGAAGTAACTATATTTTTTCAAATGCGTTTTTTCCCACCCACTTTCAAAATTCCGCACGGGACGGCGCCCCCTTTTCATTTTTGCGCCCCCCAAGAATTGCCAGCTGGGGGGGCCGTGGCCCCCCGGCCCCCCCTGCCAGCACGCCACTGCTGCTAATGGAGTCTTGTCTACTGTGAAGTCTGGTTTTCTGCGCGTGCGTCGCACTCTCTTCTGCAACTCTTTCACTCCCCGCTGATGACTTGTAGAATTACAATCAAACTTCACCTTACAGGTAAGTTTCGTTTAATTTTTAAATTTTCGTCCAAGCTCAAACCGCAAACATTTTCGCGCGTTTGTTTACGTTAAAAATAAAAAGGGAAAAACAAGTTTGGTCGCTCTAACAAGTTTGGTCGCTCTTACAATATCGTGAGCTTGGAAATACTGAAAAGTACACGAAAGCACATCAAAACATGAAAAATAACTGAATTAGGCTTTTCACTATAACACGTCACATGAGCAGTGAAACATTCAACCTCGTTCCCAGGGCTTTTCCCTTTTTGTCATTGGGAAAAGCCCTGGGAACGAGGTTGTGAAACATTCCGTTTCCAACGATAAACGCCACGTTTCAAACGTAAACAAACGCGCGAAAATGTTTGCGGTTTGTGCTTGGACGAAAATTGCTGATAGATTCTGCGAATTTTGCGGGAAATAATGTAAATTTTGCAATGTTTGGGAAAATTTATTTGATGTTCCGAAAAATTTAGGTGTGTCCGAAAAATTTTTGGACCCCTAAAATGGTACACTGACCGAAATTTTTTTGGCAACGTGGGGGAGGGGGGAGGGGGGTGGGGAGGGGGTGGGAGGTCGCCAAAATTTATTGTTCCGGGAAAAAAATTATAAATATTGTAACTGAGGGTGGGCCATGCCATTTCATGTGCACTCCCTTCAGTGGCGGCGCCAGGCTTCCAAATTTGGGGGGGGGGCATTTGAGGGGCAAACTCAAATTTTGGAGGGGCAAGATAGAATTTTTAAAAAGGTCGCCCCCCCCCAGGAAATTTCCCCCCCCTCAAAACGTGGCGATATTCCTAGGAATATCGCCCCCGGGGGCGAATATCCTAGGAATATCGCCTCCCAGGGGGGTGGGGCGAATACCCTAGGAATATCGCCCCTCTTTAGGACATTCGCCCCCCATATATGCGATGTGGTTTATTCAAATAATTTCGTGATACTTTCATCTTATTATTGCCTTACACGTTTGAGAATTTAACTCTGCAAAACTAAAGCTTTTTTGTCTTTTTTTGAAACGTATTATTGGAGTATTGGCAAGTTTTACCATTCAGAGATTTACAAACTAATATTGAAACTGTAAAAAACAGTTTCATGTATATGCGCATTCACTAATGAGTAATGACAACTTATAAGCCATACATTTTCCGATAACGACAGAACGCTTGTGTAGCCTTTAGTCGCTCTTAGTGACTAATAATTTTTTTGAGGGGGGGCAAAATGGGGGGCAAAAAATGATTACCCCCCCTTGCCCCCCCCCCACTGGCGCCGCCACTGACTCCCTTGGGGGCCACATTTTATGCAGTGACAGGAGCAGGGCCATATGAAATTATGTTGAGGAAAATGAAAATCCACCAACCCAACCCCTCCCCCCTCTAATAAATGACCGGTCCCTAACGCTATAAATTTCGGATAACACACAACTTTTCATATAACGCTATAAATTTTAAATAACACACGATTTTTCATATAACACTTTCAATTTTGGATTACACACGATTTTTCATATAACACTTTCAATTTTGGATAACACACGATTTTTCATATAACTTTAATTATGATCCTTTGCGAGCTTACGGGCTGCTAGAGCACGTGGGCAAGGAACTTGAAATTTTTATAGTACATGCACATGTTCTTATACATCGCTGAATTTAAAATCTAAACATTTCGCAAATCCTAAATTACGACATCCTCTCGTGGAAATATTAGTGGGAACACAGCTATAGGGAACTTTTGAAAAATTGTGCAGGTAATCTTGACGAAGCGTCGCGATTGTTTTTAAACGAGGAAAATGCTCAGAGTGATGGTCGGACAACCACTGTGAAGTACGCATGAGATTCAACATGACATTCAACATGATATTCGATATGGTGTGAACTCACTCATTTCAATTACTCAGAAGTAAAAATGAAAAATATAGCCATTTCTTCTCTTCCAAATGAATTAGAAAGAAAGAAGTCATACAGTTCGTATTAACTAATTAATAACTTTATGTTTTATTGCACACAAACCAACAAACGCGCCAGTAACATTAACCTAACAATTACCCCCGGTAGCTGCCTCAAATGCAAATTTAAGATTGTTATGAATATTAGGTTCTCCCACTCTAATCTCTTTTGGGGAGCTTCGCTCGCCCCAATTTTACTTTCTTTTCCATTACGCCAGCACGTAAGTGATTTGTGCGGAAAATAGGAGGTCTGGAGTCCTCCCCCAGAAAACGTTTATATTTTTGATGCTCAATTAAATGACAGCAATTCTGGAATTTTCTGGAGCATCCACAAGGGTAACGGGTAAATGAGACGACTGTTTTAATTAAGGCTATTATTGTTAGTTTGGTGACTGCACATTTGAGTTTTAAGGACTGCACAAATGGATTTAGCCAAAGAGAACTGCACATTTTGTGTAGAACTGCATGTTAAAATAATCTCTGGCGCGTTTGTTGCTTTGTGTGCAATAAAACATAAAAGTATTAATTAGTTAATACGAACTGTATGATTTATTACTTTCTAATTCATTTGGAAGAGAAGAAATGGCTTATATTTTTCATTTTTTCTTCTGAGTGATTGAAATGAGTGAGTTCACAATGTTGAATGTCATGTTGAATGTCATGCGTACTTCACAGTGGTTGACCGACCACCACTCTGTGCATTTTCCTCGTTTAATAAGGTGGTCTTACACCCATATTTTCAATTTTTTTGCAATTAATTGTAGGGCAGATGTAAGTTTAGGTGATCAAGAAAATACATCACTTTACATGTGTGTTGCCATGGTTACCGTGGTAATTACCCCCTAGTGAGAAAATAAGCACCTATTTTCAGACAAGATTAAGCTTCAGTGGATGGTCAGAAAACTTTAATTTCTGGTTTATATAATCACTATAAACATAGTCTAGGAGCCAAACCAAAAAAAACCCTGACTATTTACAGGCATCTCTGTTTTTTTAAGATTTTTCTGCAAAATAGCATTTTTTTGAAAACAATACATCATACAGCAAACAACTATGGAATTAATATAAAACTTTTTTCAGTTTTTTTTGGTTTGGCTCCTTGCCTGATATTGTGTGTTATACTGTTGAAAATTTCAGTCAAATTGGTTAAAAACTGTCTTAGATATGCTGTCTGAAGTTAGCGGCATTTGCCAAATTTCACATTTTGTGAAAAACAGCATTTAAGTTTAGCTTTTAGATGGTGGCTCTGTATTTATGCAAATAACATTGAAATGCCTACTTTTTAAATATCTTTTCAAGCCTTGGAGTGTTTAGAAAAGTTAAAATCCACCAGCAGCATACGTTACATCCTCTTTCTGGGAACATTTGTCCGCATTCTTCTTCTTTTGTGCTCGCCTGATTTTTCTTTTCTTTTTGTTTTCTTCCTGTGCCTTGAACTCTGCTTTATCCACACGCTCGTGATCTTGTTGCTCTAATTCAGCAACACAAAAACGTTCCAGGATCAATCCCTAGAAGCTCTAGTACATTAAGAGCAGCTTGGGAGCCAATGTTAAAGTGGGCCACAGCATCATAAACACCAAGCTTCAACACCTCCGATCCGATAAACACTTCTTTCGGAAGGCGATTCCAAATCATTCCATTCAATGACTCATTCTGGTTTTGAGTTTTTCCATCTAAGCACCTTTCAAGTAAAGCATCATTACTTAGCCTCTCATAAATGGCTCTTACCAAACTAATTATTTCATCTGGCAACCCTGGCCCTGTTTTGTACAAAGCTGTTCCTTTGGCCCGATCTTGTTGAAAGCGACACCAGCTATCAGCACCAGCAGGACAAAGCATATGCAGATTTCTTCTCTTTGAGGCTATGCAATGCATTAGGCTAGCTTGAATAGCTTTTTTCATTGCCTCCAGATTACCAACATTGCTTCGAATTGCAATGCCATAGTAATTTTGAAGCCGATCAATCAAAGCATTTGTCAACTTTCCTTTCCCTCCTAGTCCCTTATTCTCCTTCTTAAGTTTTCGAAGGGCAGTTCCTACCCGCTTTTGGACATGCCCAACACATTCTTTTTTCACCACTTGAACATTCTCTTTGCTGTATATGTCCTGAACCTCACTGAAACCTTTGCTGTCCCCATCGCCGAAATATTCCGTATACTGTAGTTTGTACTTTTCTTGACTGCGGCCAAATATTTTCCTAACTCCCACGGTTTCCATTGAAGCAGAAGAACCAGAATAATTGGCTTTGCATTTATCCTTGTGCTCAGCTTCCCAAACTAATTTTTCCTTGGGATCATCACTGTTCTTGTGTCTTTGACACCCTTGGCACACTTTACTTAATACTGCGACATCAAGGCACTTGCCGGGTGTCGTCACACAGCCATTCATTGATGAATGCCCTCTTCTCTGCCACGTTTCATCACAAGAAACTCCACATTGAGAGATTCCAGCATCATAGCTTCCTTTTAGTGCATGGATTTCATCACTGGCATCCATCATGCTCTCCTCAGCAACAGTTTTAACTGCTTTAAGAATGGCTTTGTTGTTCTTAGAGTAGGCATTTGCTTTAGGTGGAGAAGGCATATTCATTATCCCACAGAAACGTTTGGCAGAAGCTCTTCCTTGTCCTATTAATCTCATGCCATAGACAAGCCTTTTATTAACTTCAAAACCTTTATTTAGTTTTTTTGAAGTATAGAAACAGTGCTTCCAATCACAACTAGAGCAGACAATACTAAGATATGATGAGCACCCTTGCCTTCTTTTATTATCTTCTTCCAAATACAAACAACTTTCGTTACAGTTTTGACAAGCAACTTGTTTCAACACGTTAGAAAGTATTTCAAGACTAAAGATACGATATCCATCTACCTTTGTATTAGCTTTAGCTGTAGGTTTTAGACGGTTACTCAACTTCCTTGCCGAGGCACTAGCATGACTTGTTGAAGTCGAACCTTGGTCTGTGCTGGTTAAATCACTATCGCCACACTTGATCTTTTTACCCTGTGACCACTGATTACCTTGATATTTTCGTTTACGAGATTTTGAAGCAGATCGTGGCATACTTATAACAGTAAATCGATCGACAAATCCAATATAAAACAGCAAAGAATAAGCAATTTCTGTAAATTCACTTTTCAAAATATCCCGATGAAAACGTTTTGAAAACGTGTGTAAAGCAGCAGTACTTTATAGTCAGCGGCTTTATTGCTCAATAGACAAAAACATACTGTCCAGGGGAGGGACAGGTAGAAAGGAAAAGGAAAATAAAACAGTTTGTTGTATATATTTTTCCGTTGCTAAGGGCGTTGCTAAGGCAAAAAACCATACCTAGGCTTCAAAAAACGTAATTTTTTTATATTTTTCATTCTATCACAAAAATTTTTTCGCCACATCATTCAAACATGATTTATGATTCAATTTGTGCATAATTAAAAAAATGGTCCGAGACCTTCATTTTACTAGCACAATTTTTCAAAAGTTCCCTAGCTGTGTTCCCACTAATATTTCCACCAGAAGATGTCATAATTTAGGATTTGCGAAATATTTAGATTTTAAATTCAGCGATGTATAAAAACATGTGCATGTATTAGTGCACGGTACTATAAAAATTTCTAGCAGCCCGTAAGCTCGCAAAGGATCATAATTAATGTTGGATGAAAAATCGTGTGTTATCCAAAATTGAAAGTGTTATATGAAAAATCGTGTGGTATTCAAAATTTATAATGTTATATGAAAAATCGTGTTATCCAAAATCAGTGTTATATGAAAAATCATGTTATCCAAAATTTATAGTGTTATATGAAAAATCGTGTTATCCAAAATTTATAATGTTATATGAAAAATCGTGTTATCCAAAATCAGTGTTATATGAAAAATCATGTTATCCAAAATTTATAGTGTTATATGAAAAATCGTGTTATCCAAAATTGAAAGTGTTATATGAAAAATCGTGTGTTATCCAAAATTTATAGCGTTATATGAAAAATTGTATGTTATCCAAAATTTATAGTGTTATATGAAAATGAAAATCTTATCTTAAAATAGAATAACATTTTTGACACCGATGACGCGCCATACAGACGTGACGTTCCTTGCGTTATCAGCAATATAGTCACTGAATATAGTATTGTAGTAACCTGAAGTTCAGGCCCTAATCACAGAGCCTGAACTTCAGGTTAGTATTGTAGTTGTCAACCGTTTTAATATCAGCAATAAGGGACGGACCATTAGAAAAGTGATGGGGGGGGACAAAACAAAAAAAATCATTCCCAGAAAAAAATTAGGGAAAAAATCTTCCCAGGCATAGTGCAAAAAAAAATTTCCTACCTTAGAAGATAGGCCTATAACTACTTAAAAAAAAATTTCCAGCCATCAAGCGAGAACAAATTCTTCCATAGGTGTACAAAAAACATATATTGCTTCTTAGAACATCCCCACCCACCCCCATCACTTTTCTAAATTATATTTTCCAATTCTGTGAAAAGAAGTTAATTTTAGTTATATACATCGGAGCAAAGGTCTGGAATCAGCAATTATTAAATGGTGTAATGTAATTCTATTTCTTCAGTGTACATATATACTTTGTCTATTATATTAATTTTGTACTTATCTTTAAATACTTTTATTTCTGGCAAATGTTTTGAAAATGATCATGTTGTGAAAATTGAAAGTTAAATCAACGAAAATGATATACGAACTAACGCGGCAACCGTGTTTCAACAGAGCAGGTGTTCAAACCGTTTTATATTACGCTCAGTCGTTCTCATGTCAAATATGCACAATCGTTAACTGGTCTTCAACAACTTATATATCCTTGCATTTTACTTAGCAATAATCTTGAGCGCCAATAAACCAGATATAGATGTGCATTTATCCCTTGCATAGACCAGTTTTAATCTCTCGACATATATACTTTATGATCACTCCCCATATATCTCATCTGCTTATAAGTTTATTTAGGATATACTATTGCTTTATGACACATTTCCAACATATTGACTATGCACTGTAGCAAGCACAAAAAGAACACTGCATATGCCAAATTTACCAGAGGGGGGCTCTCTTGACGAGCGGGAAGTCGCAAAATCGTAAAAAAACGTGACGTCATACAATGACCAGGGGTGAGCCATACGATGACCGAGGGTGACCAGGGGTAAACCTATAGCCCTTACCGCGGCGGCATTTCTTTATTGGGGGGCTGGGGGGGGGGGGTTAGCGAACGCCGAAGGCGTGAACCTTCTGGGGTTGGGGATCCGGGAAATTTTGAAATCTGAGACTTCTCAGAGCTCCGGAAATGTAATACTAGAACCTGCCTCTTAAAAATTTCTTGAACGACTCTTAAGCAAGCCGTTATATACGGGTAAAATTTATTCGCTTAGTACATTTTCATTGAATAGACTGTTTTCTTCGAAACTTAATGCCGTATTTAAGCGTAATTTAATTTGAATTTTCCCTACTTATCCTCCTTAACTTTCTTAGAAATTGCTTCTTTCTGGAAAGTGCGAGCCCACTAATACATAACAAAAAATAATAAAACGAAACAAACACCTGTCCAGCGTACTAATGACGACTGAACTAATCTACATAATTATGCGCAACTAGGAATAACTTAACGTATTTCAAAAAGTCTATGATAGTCCAAACGAATTATAATTCAAAAGTCTGACTAATAAGTATGTTAACGCATGTTATTTTAGATTTGCATGTTATTTTGTAATGTATATGTATATATTAATTGAAGTTGAAATTTATAATGCAGGACCCCACTGAAAAACACTTCGGTGACGTGGGTATCCTGGATAAATATAAATATAATAATAATAATAATAATAATAATTCTGGTGGAATTTTTTAAATCAAAAGATTGAGATTGTAACAGAGATCTTGCTTCGTAAATGAACCAAAGTTACGTTTTCTCTTGTCGTTCTTGGACATGAGTACATTCGGTATGAGTACATAGTATCGCCAGATGACTGAATCTCCTCTGTGACGTAATAAATTCTCGATTTTCTAAAGTATAGAAGGGGGGCTCCGTCCCCCAAGCGACCGCCCCCCCCCCCCTACACTTAAATTTCTTGCAAGTGCTTTGGCACAGTCGAGATCGGAACCAATCAGCGTTAATACATATTTCACAATCACAATCTAACACGGTTGCATAAATGCGTCATTAGCTCAGGGGAAAAGCAGTACTCTCGTAAACTGAAGATCGAATTTCTCATGAGGCTCTATCAATGTCTTAATTTGTTTTCATTAGTGAACTGAAATTTGAAAAATTGTTGGGAGTTAGCTATACTGCACTGAGGCTGAAAAAGTACAAAACTTCATTTACTGCTGCATCCAAATTATTCGCGACAAATTATACGAACTCCTTTATCCAGTTCGTTTTAAAAATAAGCTAAATAAACCTAAATTTTACAATGCTTTGCAAGACCTCTTAATTCCAGAATTATCATTGCTTGGTTTTAAAATCATGTAGCTTCAAATTTTACAACGACTATCAGTTTTCACGGAAAATAAATTTGAACTCCGGACCCCTTGTTTACAAGACCAGTGCTCTAACCACTGAGCTATTGAGACATCTGTCCTCTATTGACTTTCTTATAATTAGCGTTTGTATTTTGTTAGCCAAATTATTTTGAACTACGAGGAGGGTTAGAGTGAGAAAGTGGAAAACAACTAAGCCAATATGAAATATGATCGTTGGAAAATATCCAGAAAATTGCTTTGAGTTTCATTTAAGTATTATGCTAATCAATGGCAAGTCCGCAGAACAAACTATTTATATCTCTATTAGTGATGTGGGAGCTTCTGTTATTGTGGGGGATAAGGGCATAGCCAGCCCCAAACGTGTGGGAGGGAGGGGACATGGTCTCCGGGAAAATTCTTCAATTATTAGGGTCTCCGAAACGCTATTTCATGTATTTTAGCCACGTTTTCCACAGATTTGATATATTTTATATCATATATAGATGAAAATATTCTCGTTCAACATATATTATTATTTTGTAATTGACCATTTGCGTAACAGACTAAATTTTGAACTAAACAAGTCCAGACAAAAATTTCATCACAGCTTGAAGGAGCATCACAAAATTAGTAATATTCCAAAGTTTCGTTGCAAAATGTTGTAAAATGCGGAAAATATAGCCTGGCGAAATTTGCAATTTTCAGTCATTTTAGATTACAAACGGGAAATTGACAGCCTCAAACCCTTCGAGGCTGTCAATTTCCGGTTTGTAATCTAAAATGACTGAAAATTGCAAACTTCGCAAAGGCTATATTTTCCTCATTTTACAGCATTTTAGTCATTTTGCAACGAAACTTTGGAATATTACTAATTTTGTGATGCTTTTTCAAGCTGTAATGAAATTTTTCTTGAGATCAAAATTTAGTCTATTACGCAAATGGTCAATTGCAGTTTGATCGTGACTAAAACACCACACGAGTACATACGAGTAACACACAAGTACATACGAGTACATACGAGTAACATACGAGTACATACGAGTAACACACGAGTAGCATACAAGTACACACGAGTAACATACGAGTACACACGAGTAACATACGAGTAAATACGAGTACATACGAGTAAAATACGAGAATGAGCACGCTTTCTTTAAAGTTTCTTTCATTTTCACACTTTCACTTTGGCTTCGTATTATGTTCATGTTGTAAATGCCTTATTGACATAGACGTACGAGACAGGGGGGAGGGGGGCAACTGCCCCCCCCCCCAAATTTTGGGAAACCATGGAAATTCGGGCAAACGCCAGGAAAAATCAAGAAAATTCGGGCAGATTTATAAGAAAATATGTTAAAATCAGGTTATTTCTTTACAATTCTCCATAAAAATTCGGGCAGAAGTGTTTTGGGGAGACAATAAAATTTTATAGCATTGATATAAAGAAGATAGTATAGAGATAGTGGCGTAGCCAGCGTAAAAGACGTGAGGCATTTTAAGGGAGGTCTGGGAGCATGCTCCCCCAGAATATTTTGAAATCTCGGGTCCCTGAAATGCGATTTCCTGCATTTTCGGGGTGTGAGTTTGGATAAGTCCGAAGACTGTATAATGCATAAGACATGATTTTTCGTGATGGAAAATGATGGGTTAAAATAATGCGAATTACTTTTAAAACCGAATGATGATTGAAAGTAAAGTATATTTTACATTTAAAAACCCAAAGTAAACCCTTTCTTCTTGGGGCCATATCTACTTACTTAGTCAAGGCTAAATCCTGTCCAGCATCCCCAAGTTGAAGGTTCTCTCTACGCCGCTGGTTGTAAAGAGCACTCAAAAGAATAGGATGGGAAGAACTACCATGCGGCCATACTATGTTCTTCTTAACTTTAATGTTGGAGGGGGGTGAAAAATTTTCAGACTGTTCTAAAGGGGTGGACTACATTTTTAAACACATTAAAAGGGAGGGTCATTTTTATTATGTTGTTTGAATTTTAGAATCCAACAGCTCCTTCCCCCCTCCCCAACCGATAAATAATGAACCCTAAGTATTTTATATTTCCCGGTGTACAATTCACGTATTAAATTTGCAAAACACATAGACTACAGACGTATAAACAACATGGCAAACATGCCCTTTCATGTACTACAAAAACTCTCTGACAGCCTGTGAGCAATATACTACATTTAAACCTTTTTAGAGTCTTAGAACATACAAATCTTTATTCTATATTAATGAATTACTTTTCCTACGTCGTGCGAGGCTTCGAAATCCATCAATACCCATAGGAAAACGGGGCTGATGTTTTCTTGGGGGGGTGGGGGTGGCGGGGCAGTTGAAAGTTTGCCTGAACTTTTATAGAGAATTGTAAAGAAATAACCTGATTTTAACATATTTTCTCATAAATCTGCCCGAATTTTCTTGATTTTTCCTAGCGTTTGCCCGAATTTCCATGGTTTTCCAAAATTTTGGGGGGCAGTTCACCCCCCCCCGCCCCCTGTCTCGTACGCCTATGTCAATAAGGCATTTACAACATGAACATAATACGAATTCAAAGTGAAAGTGTGAAAGTGAAAGCGTGCTAATTCTCGTATTTTACTCGTATGTACTCGTATTTTACTCGTATGTACTCGTATTTTACTCGTATGTACCCGTATGTACTCGTATTTACTCGTATGTTACTCGTGTGTACTCGTATGTTACTCGTGTGTACTTGTATGTTACTCGTGTGTTACTCGTATGTTACTCGTATGTTACTCGTATGTACTCGTATGTTACTCGCATGTACTTGTGTGTTACTCGTATGTTACTCGTATGTACTCATGTGGTGTTTTAGTCACGATCATTGCAGTTTTGCCTTTTCGAAAACAACTTGAGAACAGTTGCGATGGTGAGACATTTAAATGAAAGTTTGTTTTGAAAGTACAAGTGCCCTAAGCGAAAAAGCACGTTTCGTCGAGCCATGAATTACGAAATAAGAAGAAGTACAAGCTCGCTTACATTAAAAACTATATGTCTCTATGTAATTCTAAACCAACTCACAATAACAAAGTAATTACACAATATACTACTTTTTAAATAAATGTTTCGACAAATAGCAATGCTCCGTGATGGCGAGCAGGGGGTCGGCTATTTTGCGAGCTGCGAGTTGCGAGTTGCGAGTTGCGAGTTGCGAGTTGCGAGCTGCGAGTTGCGAGTTGCGAGTTGCGAGTTGCGAGCTGCGAGTTGCGAGTCGCTAGCCTCGCTTTGAATTAGGCTTTGAAAGTATATTAATATGGACGACATGGAAGGGAAAGTCGAAGGGTTTTTTGTTTCATAAATATAATGACCTTCGAAGTTAAGGTCCCTGTAACTAAGACTTCGACACAAAAGAAAATGCTACGATACGGACGAGATAAAAATCGGCCTTTACTTGTTTTTTTACTTTGTTAGATCCATGATACGTATGTTCAAGAATTAAAATAATTATATTGAAAATAAAAGTGCAAGTTTATATTTGCGTTTCTGTGTTTAATAAAATCTAGTAGTTATCCAGACCATTTTGTGCTTCTAATCTTAAAATGGTTATTTAATTTTATTAGTAAGTATGACCAGACACGACTCAGTTTGTTTATATATACTGAACGCTGGGAACCCTATAAAACTCAAGTCCTTTTCATCGGAAGTACAATTTATTTTATACAATTTATACATAGACATACATATACATACATAAACTTATCTAAACACGGGAAAAACCATCAGTATATCAAAACGATTGCTATTTACAAGTTTGTAAGTATAAAAATAAATGCAATGAATGTTTATTTCAAAAGCTGAAAATTGGCGCCAAATTGAGACAAAGCTAAAATCACATCGCCAGGATGCCATACAGTTTTCAATTTGAATTTTTAGTGTAAACCACAGGTGTAAACACTTAAATATTTAAGCATGTATCCTTTGGATCATTAAAGGTAAAATGCGTCTTGAAAATGTTTTGTTAAATCAAATATTCTGTACGAAAATACGAAATTACAAACAACAGCTCGCGAACGCCATATTGTTTCAGAGCGTGGTGTCCACGCGCCACGCGTGAGCGTGGGATACTATAATATCCCACGGTGGATCTGCCGTGGGATATTATAGTATCCCACGCTGGATTGCGAAATCATGAATTTGAGTGAAATACGAGGGTCCTGAAGGGGGATCCCAATCCCATTTCCCACCTGAAATTTTGGCAAAATCCCATTCCCAGTTGGATTTTTATTAGAAATCCCAGTCCGAGTTATTGAAATCCCAGTCAATAAAAAAAAGTTATTTATCGGTAGAATAAACAGTTTTAAGACTTTTTAAGCCACTGGTGTGTGGAAGTGGCGGACACTTTATGAAATATTGGGAGGGGGTTCGTGCCGAAGGCACGGAAAATTTTTAAATTTGAATCCCGGAAATGGCATTTGCAGCATTCTGAGACACGCATAATCACCGGAACCATCAAACCCAGAATTCCGGCCGCCAGAGTATGCCTGTTCGCAGAAAGTGCTGTGAATAATATAGTTAACAACAAAAATCATGACCAAAGACACCAAAAACGGATCAAAATTGTATTTTAAAATACTTAAAACGTAGAAAAATTGGGAATTGATTCGCATTACCTCAATCCCATTCCCATTTTTGAGGACTTCATTTCCCATTCCTAGTGGCCAAATCCCAGTCCCAGCAACCCAAATCCCACTTTCCCAGTCTAAAAATAGATCAATCCCAGTTCCCATTTTACCCCTTCAGGGCCCTCAAATACCGTAAAAAAAATCACATTATCACGTGGTACAAATGCTGTTTTTTCATTGGACAATTTGAATTTGAGGTATAATATAAATTCATATACACTTTGTAACGCTAATGTAATATCTGATGGGCTGCTGCTGAAGGTGAATCAAATATAAAATACGAAATATATAGATTCGATGCATTGATTTTTCGGAACAGTTTATATCTCCAGAAACTATCAACCGGCACACGGGCAAAGGACTTTTCATGACATTCTGGTCGAGATTATAGGATGAGGATTAGGGTTAGAATTGGGATAGAATTTAACAATACATTACATAGACTGTTCTAAAAAGGATAAAATAATGCAAAAGTAGCATAGCAGATAACAGTGAAAATATATGTATTGGACAAATGATCACTTTACCGAAAACGTATCAATGTTATGAATTCATCGAGTATGTTTCTCTTTGGCCATGAGGAGTAGTATAGGGAAGGGGGGTTTTGGGACGGGCGGTGAACTTAGCACGGTCCATGACGTCATAAATTTTTAAGTCATTTAGTTTATTCAGGTACGTTCATGTTAATTTATTTGAGCTTTAATTAATTTAATACTTAACAATTTTGAGCCGCTACGTTGTTTATATGCAGTTTTCAGTTCATTTTTGAGCTATACTTCGCGAGCGTTTGTTATCTACAGATTTTAATTTAATTCTGGCTACTTCGCTGCCATTTGTCTATATCTACAGTAATATTTGTTGCTACTTCGCTGCCGTTTGTTTATCTGCAGTTTTTATTTCTGTCTACTTCGATTCTCTGTTGTTTGTAGCTACAGCTATTATATTCCTTCTCAAAAATCATGATTATTATTAGATAACATTGATATCGAAGGAACTAGATTCTGTTCCGAAATATCACATACTCGAACCGACCAGACCGCGTAGCTCAGTTGGCAGAGCATTGGGCTAGTATTCCAAAGGTCATAGGTTCGATTCCCACCGTAGTCAGGCATATTTTCCAAGCTGCCCGGTGTGGATATTTAACAATTAGTCGCCGAAGGCGAGGTGATTACAAGCCTATATTCACTGAGCCGAAGGCGAACTAATTGTTTTAGTATAAATTTCCAGGTGTTTACAAACTATAATCCACACAACTTTATAAAACTTCACTTCAAATAAATTTATTTTCACTATAAAAAGTTTGTTTACAAAATTTAAATCTCAGACACGGCTTTGTTTCGCGTTGCGACTAAGCCAGTTTTTTTCTAAATAAAAGCACGTAAAGTTTAATATTTTACCTTGAAATATTTTTAAACCATATTTTGTAGCTTGTTTGGGATTTTTCGGAATGCTATCTTCTTTAATTTTGGCAATTTCCTCTTCTGTTACTACGGCAAAACGAGCAGCCATTTTGAAAAAAAGCTATAGTCACTGACCAGTGACTATCACTTCAGAGACAGTGAATCTTGACCAATCAGAATGCAGAAAAATCAATAGTCACCTGGAAATTTATACTAAACACTCAGAGTAACATCACAAGCATCTTATTCACCTGAGTACATTACACCAACACAGAAAAAATCATGATTATTACTAGAAAATACATGCATGCAGAAACCGTCGCCTTGCTGACAAAACCATTGTATGACATAACGTGAAGTATTTAAAGTAGTTGTCATGGTAACACGATAATTTTTTAATCTTTTGAAATTTACAAAATAATGCAAAAATGAAATATATTTTCAAGAAATCATCAAATCAATTTGGCTGTCGTCATGCAGCCGTTGTAATGCCAATTTTAAATTGGACCAATCAGTGTTGGCTATTCATGACAGTCCGCTATATTATGAGATCAGTGAGGATGACCACCCACCGAAACACGCACAATGACCCACGCCCGCGATAATTGATGAACTTTTGACTTCGCTAATGGTTTCGTTTCCCCGGGTGTAAATAGCTGGGGGGAATTAGTACCCTCGCACGGCGCTTCGCGCCGTTGGGTCGGGAACTAGATAACATTGATATCGAAGGAACTAGATTCTGTTCCGAAATATCACATACTCGAACCGACCAGACCGCGTAGCTCAGTTGCCAGAGCATATTGGGCTAGTATTCCAAAGGTCGTAGGTTCGATGCCCACCGTAGTCAGGCATATTTTTCAAGCTTGTCCGGTGTAGATATACACTCAGAGTAACATCACAAGCATCATATTCACCTGAGTACATTACACCAACACAGAAAGATCATGATTATTATTAGATAACATTAATATCGACGGAACTATATTCTGTTCCGAAATAACACATACTCGAACCGACCAGATCGGTAGCTCAGTTGGCAGAGCATTGGGCTAGTATTCCAAAGGTCGTAGGTTCGATTCCTACCGTAGTCAGGCATATTTTTCAAGCTTGGCCGGTGTGGATATACACTCAGAGTAACATCACAAGCATCTTATTCACCTGAGTACATTACACCAACACAGAAAAAATCATGATTATTAAAGGAATACCGAATGGTTTTCCGTGCAGGATTGCGTGATCCATGCACACGGGATGTTGCGAGACCTTCGGAAAGCGTAAAAATACACGAGTCGTAGGCGAGTGTATTTTTACGCTTTCCGAAAGTCGAGCAACATCCCAAGTGCATGGATCATGCTATCCTGCACGGGTATGAAGGGTGATCAATATCAAAAACATCATTCGATGATTCTTTACTTCGTTGGATGATTATTCATGTTGTTTAATGATTATTCAAGTTGTTAGATAATTACGTGTTTGCCCATTTCACGTGTTTCGTTCAATGATTCCGTGTGCTGACATTCCGTATGACGTTCGATGATTCTGTATGCTGTCATTCCGTATGACGTTCGATGATTCTGTTTGCTGTCATTCCGCGGTATGACGTTCGTTGATTCTGTTTGCTGTCATTCCGTATGACGTTCGATGATTTTGTATGCTGATTGCTGTCATTCGACTCATTCCGTATGACGCTCGATGATTCTGCGCTTTCAAGAAAACTAGCCTGCGGATTCTGAGCCATTGTCTGTTTCTTTGTCTAGCGCATCTAGTGCCCTCGTGTTCTTCTGTGCTCGTGTTATTTTTATAATTGTTTGGTTGTCATTTCGTTTTTACGTGGCATTTTTTGACATGGATTTACATGAACAGTCACCTTGTGATAAAGATTTCATAAGCACAGCAACATCAACATTAAGAAATACGTTAAGTCAACTTCAAGATTTAAACTCGTCCACACAATCAAGTGCGGATTTGAGTCCTCAAACTGAAAGTCAAGAAGCACAACTACCTGTACCTCGACCTGTACTAGCACCGAGTGTAGTACCTCAACAACCAGTTTACAGAACACTTAGTTGAAAAGCAGAGATTAACTAACCATCAAAGTGGAAATAGAAAGCTACACTCCGCTGAAACCATTAGCCTACTTATCACTGACCACATTTTTAGAGCAATGGACGAAAAAAAGATTACAGCAATGGTTTAATAGACCTGAGTAAAGCCTTTGATAGCATTTGCCATGAAGACTACTCCAAAAGCTCCAAAATGTAGGCGCTTCTTCCTCTAGCGTTGATTGGTTTCAGAGTTATCTATCCGATAGATATCAAGTCACACGCATTGGTCAATCTACATCAACTCCTTTATTGGTGAAACATGGAGTCCCACAATGCTCCATCTTGGGTCCACTGCTGTTTACAATATACATGAACGATTTACCCAAAGTTGTTTCGAACTGTGACGTTGAATCATATGTTGACGACACAAAGACGTTTATATCATTTTCCTTATCAGAAGCCGACCTTGGCCTGTTAAGCCTTTCCCAAGATCTCAGAAGTATAGCAGAATGGTGCTGTTCTAATAAGCTTCTAATAAATCCCTTGAAGACAGAGTTTATGATATTTGGAATGGAGAAATCGATAAAGAACCTGCCAAACTTATCAATTCCTTTTCTAGGAAAAATATTAACACCTGTCACAGTTTGTAAAGACCTTGGTCTCACTTTCGATGCCACTCTGACATATGACGATCATATCAATTCATTGACGTCGACCCTAACATCAAGTCTGTGTCAAATCAACAGAGTTCGACACTTGTTCAACAAGGATGCCTTGTTGGTCATGATAAACTGCCTAGTATTTAGCAAACTTTACTATTGCTCCACGGTTTGGTCTGGCACCACACAAAAGAACATTAAGAAACTACAACGAGTACAGAACTTTGCAGCACGAATCGTAACCGGAACTAGAAAGTATGATCATATCACCCCGGCTTTAGATAAGCTGGGATGGTTGTCAGTTAACGACTCTCTATTGTACCGTAATGCTATTATGATGTATAAAATAGTTCATGGTCTTGCACCTGCCTATCTTAGTTCCAAGCTAGTAATCCGTTCGCAACTTCATAAACATATTACGATGTAGAACATCTAAAGCTAAGCGATCCTTTTTTAATCATGCAGCACTGCTGTGGAACTCATTTGATCTTTCGACTCGAAACATTTCAACTCTAGGAGGATTGAAGAAGGCCGTACGAACAGAGTTAATCAATAGACAGAATTAATTTTTAATAGTCCTCGTAATATACAGTTGTAATTCTAGTTTAGCTACAGACAATCTCTTTTTAACATAAATTCTAAATAATTGCATGTAAATATCATATTACTACACTTATTTGTAAATTAGTTATGAAAAGCCCTTATCCCATTAACTAATAAATCATATTGTATTGTATTGTATAGTGGCCAAAGTTCATTTTCGATGCCATCGTTCCATCAACATCGTTTAGTACAGTGAGTCAGAACAGGATAAATGAGAATTTCAGGTAAGATAAACAATATATCGGATATTCCATATATATAAACATAAAATATAAATTTTTTATAATTGTCGATGGAATTATCCTGAGCATCCTTCCATTTCTTGCTTGGTTGTAACGCAGTAATACACTGGTAAACCACTCTAAACGAAATTTCGCGTAGTAATTGAGAAGTTATTTCAATAAGGATTCTTCTCCCGTAATGGACTATAGCATCCATTCCCTAAAATATTTTAGTGTTAGAATGCGCTAGACAAGCAACAGACAATGGCTCAGAATCCGCAGGCTAGTTTGCTTGAAGGCGCAGAATCATCGAACGTCATACCACAGAATACTACACAGAAGTCCATGTCCTTTGTTTTTTGTGTAAGCGCTATTCGTCATGATTCGTCACTCAGCAAGTACCGTAAACAGAAGCAGTCCCCCCCTGGAAATACTCAAAAATGGCGTTCGTCCAGGGGGGTGACTGCTTCTGTTTACGGTACTTGCTGAGTGACGAATCATGACGAATAGCACTTGCACAAAAAACAAAGGTGATGGACTTCTGTGTAGTATTCTGTGGTCATACTATGGTCATACGGAATGACAGCATACAGAATCATCGAACGTCATACGGAATGACAGCATACAGCACATATATATATATATATATATATATATATATATATATATATATATATAAATATATATAATGACAGCACATATATATATATATATATATATATATATATATATATATATATATATATATATATATATATATATATATATATATATATATATATATATATATAATGTATGTTATTATACGTAATATAAGCTTCAATTTAAGGTAGAATTCAACCACAAAAGCGTCGCAAAACGTTTTAAAATGTTCTTTATAAAACTATTAAAACTGTCTTTAATTATTAAAATTGCTTTATCAACAAACTTTGAGTTTGCAATAAAATGACTACAAATTCTCGCATGCAAATAACTTTGCTTTCTTTTTTATTTAAAAAAATTCAATATAGGCCTAATAAAAGAGGGAATCAATATTATTAATACACCGAAATTATATGCTGTCTTGTTTAGTTGTTTCATATACGCAAAGCCAAAGGGCCAAAGCGGCCAAAAATGCGAGCAAAAATTAAATATAGTTGCATGAAATTTATCAATCATCAAATCAAGAAATGTTTGCTATTTCGCTGTCGTCATACAGTCGACAGTCGTTATAATGCAAACTTTAAATTGGACCAATCAGTGTCCGCTATTCATGACAGTCCGCCATATTTTTGAGATCAGTGAGGATGACCACCCCCCGAACTACCGAACCACCGAACCACCGAACCACTCACGGTAACCCACGCCCGCGTTCATTGATGAACTTTAGACTTGGCTAATGTTTTCGTTTCCCCGGGTGTAAATAGCCGGGGGGGGGAGAATTACTACCCTCGCACGGCGCTTCGCGCCGTCGGCTCGGGGATAAAATCTTGTAATAATATGAATTAAAATACACCTATTATACTCTATTTTTATTGTTGTTTATGATTTTGCGGAATTTTGAATAAACTGGGATATTCTCTGCAGAATTCCCCCGAAATCCTGGCAAACTCCAATAAGTCAGGAATTTTCGTAGTACACAATTCTCAAGGCGCATACGTATATAAGTACAATATCTACGTCCCACAAGCTTTACAACAACTTTAGTAGAATATATATCAAGAATGTGTTGAAATCTTCTCAGATTGTTAGAAAGAATAAAATTATAGCTGTAGCAACAAACGACAGAGAAGTAGAGAGAAATAAAAACTGCAGATAAACAAACGGCAGCGAAGTAGTTAGTAGTATAGGAAGTAGCGGTTCTAGACCACTTTTTCAGCCCGCGATCCCACCCCACTTTCGGTCAGCGGTTTCCCGAATTTTCCCCAAAGAACGCGGGCTCATTTTTCTAGACCATTTTTTTTCTAGACCATTTTTCCGTGGTCTTTTTACCTCATTTTTTTATCTATTATTTTAATCTTTATTATCATATTTAATTATACTCAAGGGGCGAAGCTCTTAGGGTCAAACACATTACTTGAATCATCTTTGTTGTTCTGTGTGTTGACGTCAACGTTAATATTATTTGATACAGAGAAATTTATATCACCAACCTTTCCATTCTTAGTAGAACTCTTACGACAACCACAAATCTTACCTAAGCATGAGAAGCATGACCTCCACCTTGACATCTTATCTTATGATAAACCACATGTTAAATACCTGATCCCGAATATCGGAGTGATCAGCAAAAGGACATATCCATACTCGATCCAGTGGGCATTGAGTGTTCAGGTTTAACTATAATACACCAGGCTAGCGTGTTATCTACCAACTCAACCTGGGCTCCTAAATAGAACATACTATTACCCTTGAAAACGTAGCAAGCTGTACTTCCACCTGTAGTTGTGTAAGTTCCATTAAACCAGGTGTGTGACAGTCTTCTTAAGTCTATTGTTCTCAGAGCGATTTCCTTCTTAACCTGGGTATATTTTCCATTAGATTGTTTCTCCCATACAGTAGCCCATAGAATTAGAGCTAGTGGTATATTTAGAATGGTTGAAAAGGTTGGAAAGTCTGATTTAATAGTTATCGACTCAAGGTTGAGGTCTGCCATATTATTAATAGGATCTGTTCTCCATGAAGGTGGAATCTGATCGTGACAGCAAGCATAGTACCTTGTTGCTGCAACTGAAACACCACGATAACCCCAGATCCACTCAGCGTGAATATGACGGTTTATTCTTACGTATCTCTTATCGGCCACTGCTTGTACAAGTCCAGTGGAAGGTTTAAGAAAATTCCTTTCTACCCATTGTTTGTTAACAGCATCCTTATCATTTACAGGATCCTTTAGATCAAGAATACCACTTGAATCTCCCATATCCAAATCACCCTTTACCAGTCCACCTCTACTACTCATGAACTCATCAGTTGCCCACCTTTTATTAACAGCTGAACCGTCAGTTGTAGGATTTCCCACTCTAGTTAACTCGAAATCGTTAACATCTAGATTGCTTGCTAAAACACCACCATCACGTTTCAGGAACTGTTTACACCAATTGCTCATAGTTACATAAGAAACTGCACTAGAATCCCCAACCGAGCCACTATTTAGACCCGTAATACTATTACCACCCATGTCAATATTACCGCTCATAGTAAGTCCACTACTACTCGTAGAACTCACGCTGACATGATCCGTGACCCATTTCTTAGACACAGCAGAATTATCAGTAGTAGGAGCACCTAACTTTATTATTTCGTTGTTATTCATGTCAAGGTCATCAGATAGTGTAATACCACTATAAGTCTCACGTTTACGTCTACCTCCAGAGATCTTATTTTCAACCCACCCTCTATTTACAGCGTCTGTGAGATACTCAGGATTTCCGAGTTCACGTATTCTGTTACCTTTCATCCACAAGGTACCGGTCATATTGTTTTTAGAACCACCCGCACGCGTGACAACATTATTTTTTACCCACCCCATGGAAACAGCAGATGTATCAACACTAGGATTACTAATATTTTCAATTTCATTTCCACCCATCTTAAGATTACCGGTCATTTCGCTTAGACCGTTTAGTTTAAGATAGGTAACTAGCTGGCTAAATCTTACAAGACTGGCTGAATCTAACCCATCTGAGAAACTTTTAGGGGCCTTAGAGAAGCTAATAGGCCCGGTTACACTCTGTAATAGGAAAGAGTCGCTTAGCCTTAGAAATGTTCCCCTGTTTGAGTCAAACCACCTTTTTGTAACAACAGATTGGTCAGTAGTGGGATTACCAACATTCTTAATTTCATGTCCACCCATTTGAAGATCACCTGACATTGTAAAACCAGAGGTACTAGGAATTGTAGACAGCTTACTCTCAACCCAACCTTTAGATACAGCTTCACTACTAAGTTTAGGGTCAATAATATCAAATAGTTTCCAGCCTCCCATGGAAACATCTCCTTGCATAGTTCCACCTTTTTTAACAAAGTTATTATCAACCGCCCACTTTTTCGTGACAGCTGACTGATCCTCAGAGGGATCCTTAAGATTCTTAATCTCATGGTCTTTCATATCAATATCCCCAGATACAGGTTTATTTAGCTCGCTAACTACCCAGTCCTTACTAACAGCAGACTTTCCAGTTGTAGGATCACCCAAAGCCTTTATCTCATTGGTTGACATATTGAGATCATTTGTAAGGATAAGTCCAGGTAGACTTACATGTATATGCCTACGACTACCTTCAACCCAACTCTTACTAGCAGCATCACCTGGATTAGTAGGATTATCAAGATTAGTTATCTTATTACCTCCCATGTTAATATCCCCAGTCATTGTAAACCCTGCTGGTTGAATTGTAAGAGCAGCCCGTTTAATGATCTCATCATCCACCCACTTTCTTGTGGTCGCAGAAGTATCATCTGTAGGTGCACCCAGACCTTTCACCTCATTACCATCCATCTCAATGTCACCCTTCATGGTAAATCCATCCTTATCAAACACACTACCACTTGATGGGTCAACTTTATTTACTCCTTTATTGTATCCTCTATAGAGAGCCATTTTATAGAATACATAATGTTTACAGGGCAACCTTCATTAGTATGAATACAACTATAGCACCAATTCCAATCCCAGCGGCAGCGCTAACTCCTGAGGACATACCACTAGGTGATGTGATGGGAACAACTTGAGGCTCTGTATCAATTGGACCTTTTTGGGGACTGACTATTGGGGGATCTTTTGGAATATTATCCAGGCTTTCAGTTGTACTAGCGTGGTGTTGTTTATCTATGGGACCACCTGGAACTTTTTTAGTCCCATTGATAGTATCAAGGTGGTGAACTGGTGTAGTGTCTTGATGTTGTTTCTTTGGAGGATCAGGCTTTTTAACTCCAACATAGTTTACCTTAGTGTTAACTCCACGCTTCATATTATAAGAAGCATTTACAAGAATATTATTATATCCAGGAACGGGATTCTTTAGAATGATTAGACTGGATGGAACCAGAACTATTCCAGGTGTAATGGCTGTATTAAGTATAACATTTGTGTCCCTGATAGCCGTTCTCATATTAGATAGAGTTACAACGGGATCCGCTTGTACAACACAATCATGAACAATATTACCGAACTTCACCTGGGTAGAAAATGACTTTCCCATCTCACCTACAATTGGAGTTCTTGTTGATGCTTGTGCACCTGGTACGGAATACGAGAACGCCTGCACTGACTCATTTAGTAATAGTAGCCCAGTTTCAGTAATATTCTTCGGAACAACCAGGTTGTTAACAGCAATAAACCTTTTATAGTCAGACTTACCTACCAGACTTACTGAAACCCTTTCTTCATAACTAATTTTTATCTTAATTAGAAATCCATTGACTGAGTTTATAGGGGACGCAACAACGTTCCTAACTGGATTGCTATCACTACCTCTCTTCCTAAGCCAGCTTGCTTTTTCATACTCAAGTCCGTTATCATAGGTGACTCTATAAGTATCAGTTTTATTTTCCCACTTACCAACAACGGGAATGTGACTCCTTACAGGACCCAACCTACTTAAATATGGTTTCAGCCTCTCAGGGTTGTACACAAATTTTATGATAGTATAGTAAACATGAAAGTCCATAACACTAGTAATAACAGGATAAACATCATTACTAGGAGTCATATGACTAGTTGTGATTCCACTAAGATGTGTAGCAATATATGCCCCGCATAGTGCAGCAAAATACGGCTTGTTATAATCAAACTTTACATCAACACCCTTAGTGGTAATAAGACTTGATATACTTGGAAGTAGAAATCCACCTGCACCACCTGTTGTAGTAAAGAAGCTTGTAGCGTCAACATACAACTTAAAATTGTTAACATCCTTAGGCCATCTTATTTTAGGAAAGTAACTGTGACCATCAACCGTGTCATCAGAATTTACCCCGTATCCAGTTCCCTTTCCGGAGGCCCACATTGCAGGCCACCCGTCAACTTCACCTGGTACTTCTAACGGGGGCTGTTTCATGTCAGTCATAGGTATAAACTGGGCAGGAATAATAATTTTCTTAGTACCCGTGAGATAAAATGTGAACTCCTTATTATTCAGAAAGCCGCCATACCTAATGTCATATGAAGTTATGCCATCTAAGTCCACAAACCATGTAACAACTCCAATATCACCACTACTTGTAGTCATAGCTTCAAACCTAAACCTGTTCATATCAGCGTGAGGGTACTTTTTTATAAACCTAGCCCTCTCAGCGTCCTCAGCTTTTTTACCAGCAATAGGATCAACATCATTTTCATCTTCTTTTCCATACTTTTTCTCATAATCTTGGTAAGACCTATAAGGCGACTTCCCAACGTCTCCTCCACCTGGTATCATTCTTAATAACCTAACGTATGTTATTAAGATGAAGTTTACAGTTCTACTTCAGGGGTCGCACACTATTATGCCATTACAGAATTCAGTTCTAACGAGTAATTATAATTCAGTCTTCATAAAGAGAGTTTCAGTGTTCTGGGAATACTTCAATATAACAGGACCAACAACTATTCTCAAGGTAAAAACAGCTGACGGGGAATCCGATGTTATTGTCAACAAGGGTTACTACACATTTGATAGTATGAGAAAATTACTTGAGAGACACGGTGTTAAACTAACATATTTTCCTGAAACAGCAGGATGTCAGATAGAAGCTGTAAAGCAAGACGTTACAATAGAAACCAGGTTTTTAACAATGCTTGGCTTTAATAGATTTAGTAATCCAATGATCTTACTAAAAGGAAGGAGTTTAACAAGTGATAGCAAAGTTGACTTTAATAATGGTCTACGAGGTGTAAATATACACTGCAATCTAGCTAATAACAGCTTTAATGTTAACACCTGGGGAAGACATAGTGATGTAATAACAAGCGTTCCAATTCCAACTGACAGACCGTTATTGGGCTCAGTTGTTAGCTACATCGATGTAGAAAGCAGAATTCCTGTAGTCAAGGGTTCTTTCTCAGAACTTGTATTCCACATGACAGATCAAGATGGGAAACCTATTGATATAGGTGAAGTGCTACTTGAGATGTACCTTGAGCACTAGCTTACATTGGTTAATATAAAATGGACGATGATATTATGAAAGAACAAGGACTACGAGATATTTACTACAATCCTAAGACTGGATTCCAAACACCAGAGAAACTATATCTGAGAGCAGTATCAGACGGACTTAAAGTAACCAGAAACCAGGTCAAGAAATGGATAAACGAGCAAGACACATACACTAGGTACAGACAAGTGTTTAGGAAACATAAGTTCAGACAGACGTACGTTCAAACTTTAGGTGAACAGTTACAAATGGATTTAGTTGACATGACAAAATATGACGACAAGAACAAGGGATACCGATGGATTCTCACATCCATTGAAATACTAAGTAGGTATGCATTCACAGTACCAGTGTATAGGAAAAACGCGACATCAATGAAGGACGCAGTCGGTAACATTTTAGAGCAATTTAATAACCGTTTTGGTAAATACCCAAAATTCACCCAGTTTGATCAAGGCACAGAGTTCTACAACAAAGAAGTAAAATCATTGCTCAATAAACATAACATTGAGTTTTTCTCTACTTACTCAGATAAAAAGGCCGCAGTTGTGGAAAGATTTAACAGAACACTAAAATCGCTAATGTGGAAGTACTTTTACAGTGCTAGTACATATAAATGGTTAGACGTCCTTCAAGACTTAACTGATAATTACAACAGTTCAGTGAACAGATCAATTAAAACAACACCAGCAGTGTAAATGAGTCCAACTGGACTGAAGTATGGAAGACACTTTTTAGTCACAATTTAGGCAAGCCGTCAGAACCAAAGTTTGCTGTCGGAGAAAGTGTTAGAATTTCAAAATACAAATCAGTGTTCACAAAAGGGTACGAAGCTAACTTCACAGAGGAGTTGTTCACTGTGACTGAAGTGTATCACGGTCATCCAAACACGTACACAATAAAAGACAGTGCTGATGAACCAATAATTGGCAGATTCTATGAACAAGAACTGTATAGCGCTGAAGGAAGGGAACCTGATTTTAAGATAGAGAAAGTACTAAGAAGAAGAACGGTGAAGGGTAAAAAGATGGCCCTAGTTAAGTGGTTAGGTTATGATGACAAATTTAACAGTTGGATACCAGCTGGAGACATCAAGTCCCTAACATAAGTTAAGGTATTATGGAGGACTAGATGACCGCGATGATACTGAGTTGGAGGAGGTAGAAAAAAGTTATCTCAATATGACGACCTTGATTATGATGACCTAACGACAGCTTTAATAGGTTAGATATAGGGGTGAAGGCTGAGGCTATGTATGGTGATGATCCTATAGTATTAACTGATCTTAAAAGTGAACTGGATATGTGAAGAATCTTATGGAGAGACGTGAAATAGAAGAAACAACTTTCACCGAAGGAAATGATGGTACAGTGAACATTTCAGGTCCATCAGGAAGCACAACCACCCCGGGAGTAGATTTTGTAGAAGATCAAACAATGTACTTCCAGACGTGCTAGATGCATTCAACGAATCATTTGACGCTGACTGGGACGAAATAGAAGCCCGCCTAGAGAAACTAAATAAGATTTCAACAGAAAATAAAAAGAGAGATTTTGAAAACCAGGTGGAGCGTGTTCAAGCTGTCACAAGAGTTATTAAGAATAAGGAGGGACTGATACTAGATCCTAGGAATAGATACGTCAGGGAACTCATCAAACGATCATCTGTAAGAACACTAAAGGATGGCACAGAGGTGTTGGTATTTAGAAGTGAACAAGGTATTGACAAAAGTGGAACACAAATAATGAAACGTGGTAAGACCAGTAAACTGTGTACTCAAGACTCCATGCATTAAGAGAATACAAGGACCTTCTAAAGAAAATAAAAGAGGTACCTACGATCCTGACATATAATTGAAGTGATGAATCAATTTATGAGGATACTAAAGAAGAGCCCAATTTGATGAAAGTAGTGAGGAATACGCTGACCGTGAGAACATTGAGTTAATAGATATAAGTGCAAAACTAGGAGACCTTCCAGGGCTAACAATGCAAGAAAACAATGAACTGAGAGGAGTACTTAACCCACCTGATGGATCAAGCATAGAAAGCAGAACAGGCCCGAATGGAGCATTGCAAATACAAGCTGACTACTTTAATGAAGCTATTGGTGAAACCGTGGAACGCGCCACCTCTGCGGAAGGTACAACTGAGTATAATTCCCTTATAGAAAGAATTGACAGTTTGAAGGAAGCTAGAGATAGGACACTAGAGCAGAGAACAGTAGAGGAAGCAAGAGAGGCACAGTTGGAAGATATTTCTAGATTACGTAGATTTATAGACTGGGTAGGAAAGGAAAAGGTGGGACTTGTAGGGATAGCAGTGTCAACAGCTAGTTTAATTACAGCCTTATTAATCAATGCTAGGGGAGCCATTATGAAGACAGCAAAAGCCACTGGTAAAGTAGCAAAAGCATTAGCAAATTTAGCAAAGAAAGCAGGACCAATTCTAGTTCCAATCATGAACGCAATTGCAACAGCGCTATCATGGGGAGCCAAGGGAATTGCTTGGTTAGCTTCACATCTATGGGTACTAGCTGTAGCTGCAGCCTTAATGGTATACAACTATTACACAAAGTAAATTAGCTATGGAGGAATATCAGGAGGAATACGATGACCGGAGAATGGAAGAGTTGAAGGAAAAGTATCCGAACTACGAAGAAATGGATATAGAAACTTTAGATAGCGAATTTCCATACCTTGACAAGGATCTTAGGGAAAGCGAGACTACTGAGGAGACCCAGGATATTAACGAGGAAATTAATTACATACAGGAACTGAGGAGGAGAAAAATGTTGAGTGGGGACCTTACGAGAGAGCAATTAGCTGAGAAATTCCCTGACCTATCTAATCTTTGTAAATAAAACAGGTATATCACTATGGTAACGCTGGGCCACCATACTGTATCTTCAAATCTGTATATTTTATCTATA